AACTCCAGCACATAATGGGACAATGCGCCATTCAAGGCTACATCAACAACTTTGGGATAGAACGAGAAAGCCACAAACTACACAAATGAGCTCACACTGCTTCAGTTTTTTTTTTTTTTTAATATTTGAAATAAATTTTGCGGAGTTTCTTTCTGTATATTCAGAAACGAGCTGTATCCTGTTGATCAAAGAAACGCTCCTCTGCTCGAAAGCGATGTTTTGTTTGGCTACTTGAAGTATCCAAAGATAAATTACCCCACTGGGGGCTTTTCAGGAGATTTTATTTCCTGCAACCGTTTTGGAATATTCTAATTACAGCTTCAAAGCAATTCAAGGGCTAAATATGTGTTATTTAAGAATCCAATTGGCCAAGTGTACATGGACCATGCATGCATTTAGCAAACAAATCAAAGAACATATTTGTGATGGCAGTGGTGGATTGGGGGGGGGGGGAGGGAGGTGTCAAGCATCCTCTTGAGCCACAGTAAATTGGAAAATCATGCAGAAAAAAGCAGCACAAAGCCTGCTCAACAAGTCAACAATTCTTGAACCGATTGAAATAATGTTTTCAGTATATTAAAGGGAAGATACAACATTTGCAAACATTACCAAACGAAATGACCAAATTATCACAAAATACCTTGCTGGATTGTTAGGGATTGACAGTCTAAAGCATCCTGTAAAATCGTGGCTCCTGGTGTGCTGACATTTTCAAGAAAAAATTATTTTTCCAACGCTGGTTGGCTGACCAGCGTTGGAGAAAACTTTTTTTTCTCTCAAAACTGCTCCTAAGTTTTAATAATTAGGTATTCCGTGTTTTCTTTGCAATTGATTACACAACTGTGAAGGGATACATGCCTACTAGACTGACTCTCTGATCTTACAATTCCCCAAAGTCTATAAATTCTCCGTTTCATCTTAAGTGGGGTCAGGGAACCAGACTACAAGAACATGAATGGTTTTCTTGGTTTTTCCAACGTCTACAAGCCCAAATCGTAAAACAAGTCATTTTAACAATATTTGCTAAAACATACTAATCCTCCAAATCCATTTATTTCTGAAAATTGCAGCAAAAGCAAATGTTGTACATTCCCTTTAAAGCCAACAAATTCAGGTTTATGGACAAATCAAAATATATTTGACTTATGCTTTTTAATGTAAAAAAAAAGAGGGCATTTTGAGGGTTCAATTTTTTTTGGGGGGGGGGGGGACACCCCGTATAACATTAGCAAGGTCTTCATCAGTTCAACTGGATGATACTAAAATCAAAAAATTCTCGTTTGTTATTTTTTTCTGTTAGTTCTAAAAAAATTCGGTAGGAGGTAATATATTGCTTGCATTGTTTGAGGGGTAAAATGTACGGTATCAGACAATCTAACTTAAAATTAAGGACGTGACGTTTACACGTTTAAATGTTTAAACGAAAACAATTCTAAATGCATTCACAAATTGTCTAAAAGCATTTAAAAGACACCCAAATTATAAGAAAGGCACCTAAGTTCACACGGTCTGCCTTTGAGTTAAACCTACATTGTACATAGCACAAATAATTAACCCTAACTCCATCAAAATCCATCCCCCCATTTTGGTGGATTTTGGGGGACCTGGTCCAGAAGGCCCGGCTTGACTTAATATTGATGGAGTATGATGGACTTGGGCCTAATGGCCTGAAGCAGTGCTAGGGGTATCCGATTGATTTTGCCTAGCTTCTTGTTCTGCTATTGTTATAAAAGCCATGTGTAGCAAGTCCATGAATGTCAACCAGTGCGTCAGTGGTGGATTCCATTATGTCATGTACAGTTTTGTATTGGACGCACAGTGATTGATGGATTTTGATGGACTTGGTCCAGTTCCTAGTAAAAGAGGCTACAGGGTTAGGGTTTCCGATGTTTTCAAAACTATTGAATTTACAAAACCTTCAAAGCACTTCAATACTTGATTACATTTGGGGCACACATAGACACGTAGTTAAGTTTTTACTTTTTTTCAATGACTACCATTGTTGATTCATCATGTTATCACTCCAGTCTGCAGACATAATGAACATGAGTCAGCTTTTGTGAATGGTTTAAACGTTTAAACGGTTCTTAAAATATTTGCTAAACATTTACAAAATTTAACGCAAAGTCACATCCTTAAGTTCAAATATATATCACACTTCTTCCCCTTAGTTGAGATCTAGTGTTAAAGCTGCAGTCCATCATTTGCAGCTATCCAAAAAAGTAACTGACAAAATTATTGTTGAAAAGCATACTCGGTTTAAAGATAGTAATGGGACTAAAACTCCCTGTTAAATTATTCTTTCTGGCATGCTGTCATTTTGAAGAAAACAATGAAAGAAGGCCATTTCTAATGATGCATCTACATTAGTTGACTTTTACATTAGTAGTTCATTTTTCATTCGGCGAAGCGCACGCAAGCGTTGACACGACACACCCTTCTTTAGATTTGGGGCACTTTTGTTGCTTCAAACGAACATAATGCACAAATTACAAAATGATGGACGCTACTTTTGAATTATCTGGAAAATATGAGAAATTTTCAGTTCTAGAGCCAGCACTAACTGCCGGGTTTTTTTTATGCGTTGTCACAAATACGGACCATTTATAGAACCCCCTTCAAAGTGGATGAATCAATAAAAAAAAGCTGCCTTGATACAGATGGTCGCCATGGCGACAAATGTATCCATCTGTTGTCGAGCACCATTATGTCAACACCGACAGCCTTGACCAACTTGCATCGCTGTAAGTGGGAGGTGTGGCGGACTAATTTCATCACTAGAGGGCGTGCTTCATGAGTTCCTTCCCATGCCGAAAGAGTTAACGATGCACTGAAGACATTGAACCCGAATTAAAGGTGACTGCTCTTTCTGTGCATACTGACATTATGTCTATGTACAAAATACTGTTATTGCAAACTTTAAGCTGAATAACCTTTAATATTTTTGGCCTTCATACAGACTTGAGAACAAGTCAGTACAGTTGGTTTTTTTCTGTAGCAGGGTGACCGTTTTAGCCGAATTTAGTTTGACAGAAAATTTGACAGAATGGATTTTTTTTGGCAGATTTCTGGCAGAATTCTCCAAAAATGGTTATTTAACAGAAAAACATATTAAATTTGAAAAACAAATGGTACATTTGTTTAAAAAAGCTTTAATGTATTCAAGCAAACCCTTGCATAATGGGACAGGTTGCCTGGTCTAGCTGCTGAGGTTCACTTGGAACCGGATTTTGCCTGAAATTTACGCAACTTAATAACATCTTTATGTGACTATAGATTGTTTATAAGGTCATTTGAACCTTAATTAAGGCAATACTACAACATCTGCATGCGACTTTAAGTGTTTTTTTATAGTGTATTTCAAGTGATTCTGGGGAATTTGGCAGATTTTTGATTAATCTGACAGATTTTTGAAGTGCATTTAGCAGAATTTGGGCATGACCTTACGGTCACCCTGGTCTGTAGGCGCACCCGATATTTACAAGCATGGCGCTGTGTATCATATTTATTATTACTCTTGGGGTGCCGCGCTAGCATGACGACCCCAAGTGGGCGTGGTAAAAGTTGGTGAAGCAATTTTGCCACCTTTTTCATCATCAACGTGATGTTTTGGGTAATAGTGATATGGAGTGTTGTCATAGAGATAATGTTGTAATATTTAACTACTCAAAGTCTGAAAGAAACAAACTTGCCAAAAAGCGAAACAAAACAAATAAATCATTTTTTTCACATGCCAACCGTGACTTCAGAGAACCATTTGAGGACCTGCATACAATAGCAAAGCCTCTCCATTGACCATTGCATTTTGTGCTTGCGCACTCTTTAGGCCTTTACGAAAAATGTGACGCACAGACATCAGACAGACATCAGACAGACAGACATCTGACAGACAGCGTAGGATCTTTTAATATAGGATATGGTGGGTTTGACATGTCTAGCAACTTCAAGAATATGATCGCGGATGGATATTCATTTATGCGCCCAGCAAATTGCATGCGCATTACGTTGCCATAGAGAGAGCCAATGAAAGCTCACCTGCACCACTGAGGAAGCATCCATTATTAGAGTGGGGATATCTTTCTTTAAATCAGTGTACATTTCTCTCTTTTTCCCCAAAGATTCTCATTAGAACATTACACTCAATGGTATAATAATGACAAAATTAGAAAATTATATAATATAAAGAGTAATTGCTCTTTCGAATAAAACAAAAATAAGATGGAATACCAAACGGCTCAGGAATGAGCTTTTGACCCCTCGAAGAATGGGACTCGCTCCGTGCTGTATCCCATTCACCACGCACAGATCACGTGTACAAAACACGGACAAACGCATGAGCTGTAAGATGTAACATGAATATTCATATTCTCCCGATCCTTAACCAATCAGACTGCTCCGTCCAAATCTGGTAGCAATTGCCATACGTTGTGTACAAAGCCGAGAACAAATAATTCAAGTCGGTAATTGGTATCGAAGTACACGCATATTGGGGTCGAGGATGGACAAACCCGGCCCGGCATGCAAGTGCCATACCGAACGTACGTACCGTACCGTGGGACATCGCGGTATGCGTTAGCCGTCTATGCCGGCGCAGTGCGCAACAGGCCGGAAAAAAAAATCCAGCCAATTGCCGACTCGATTTCAAGTCTGGCCTTCATATGGCTTACGGATTGAAGAATAGTTCTTTTGAGGCAAGGGAGATGGGGGAGGGGTGGCTAGAATCCGGTTCGTAAGTGTGACATCATTTCAACTTAAACCACACCCACTACACACGGTGTAGCATGGAAAATCATTAGAACCATTTGGAACCGGAAGAAGTACAAAGTGGCGTGTTCAGCCAATGGGTGCTAGTAATCAGTGGCGTTTGTTTTATGGTGTAAATCGAGGACACACACGTGCAACATCATCGGTGAAAAGGCGAGGACAGGAACCAAATCGAGGACGATCTCGATTAGAAAACGTGTACAAAACCAATGAGAGCTGTTGCGAAAAAGTTAGAGTACAAACAAAGGAAAAGGGAAGAGGAACAAAAGAAAATCCTCGATTTACAACATAAACAAACATGCTGAGTGCATGAGTGCGCGTATGACGCAGTCACTTACGAACCGCATGGATGAAAAAGTTCACTTACCTCTTTATCACAAGTTGCTAAGTAGACGAAGCACTTGAATTGCTTGGATATGGTACATGTAGTGTCACTGCAATGAACAGTATCACAAGAATTTAGCCATTTCAAGCTCATAATCGCGAAACGCATGACAGATATCTTGCTGAAATCCTTGTCAAAGACAATATACATGTATTTATACAGCAAAGGTAAATCATTTTTCACCACAGATCAAGACACACTCTTGCTAAATTTCGCATATTTGATCATAAAACTTGATCTTCAAGGGAATATACAACATTTGCAAGCGTCAAAAAACAAAACTACCAAATTAGTCTGAAATACCTTACTGGACTGTTAGTGAATGACAGTCTAATTGCATCCTTTAAAATCATGGCACCTGGTGTGCTGTCATTTTCAAGAAAAGTGGTATTTTTGTATATCTTTCCAACGCTGGTTGGCCGATCAGCGTTGTAAAAAAATCGCTCTTTTTCAAATACTGCCCCCAATTCACCATATTAAGTTAGTCCGCATTTTGTTTACAATCGATTACACGCCTATGAACGGGTACAAGCCAGCTAGACTGGTTCCCTGACCTTACAATTCCCTGACAACTATAAATTGCTAAGACAAGATAAGTCTTATTGCTATGTTTCATCTTACGTGGGGTCAGGGAACCAGACTACAAGAACATGATTGTTTTTCTTGGTTTTTCCAGCATCTACGAACAAAAAAATTCAAACAAGTCAGTGAAACAATATGTGCTGTAAAATACTAACCCCCCAAATCCATTCATTTCTGAAAATTACAACAAAAGCAAATGTTGTATATTCCCTTTAAAGCGTGATCTTAAAACGATCAAAGCATGCACAAAGCCTCCTTCACCTAAATGTCAACAATTATCATTCTTCAGAAAGTACAAGTACCGGTACTCAATAAATCTGAATTTGCCATGTACGCAGTGGGTCAGTCTAATGCCGCCCAGGTACAAGCTTCTGTAAAGCAACTCACCCAGCGACATAGGCAAAGTACAGCAATGCATCAACCCTCCTGCCACAAGATGATATTTCAGGGTAGCAGTGCTTCATGATGATCCGATCCTCATCCGATGCCTCCCAGGTAATCAGATTGGTCTCTCCCAGCTCTAAGAACACATCCTGAAGATAAAATACCCAAGATTTTACTAGCAAAATAATAATAAACAATTGTCGTGCTTACTGTTATATAGCACTTTCCAGTGATGTAGGTCTCGAGGCAGGTCTCGGTATCGAGACCGGTCTCGAGACGGATTTTCGTAGGTCTCGACAATTTCAAGGTCTTGACTCAAAGAACTCGGTCTCGGCCTCGATCTCGGAGCAAAAGTCTCGAGATCTTGTGGGGTCTCGAGCATATGAGACCTTATTGTTCAGTTGGGGAAAAACCATAAAAAAAAATATAAAAAATTTAAATGATCTGGCCATATCTGACTTACCGTAATTTTCGGAATATAAGCCGCGCGGCGTATAAGCCGCAGCACGCAAAAATCTGCAAATTGAGATTTGAAGTCGGCGTATAAGCCGCACCGACGTATAAGCCGCACCAACGGCAGCGGTTTCAACTTTGTAAGGCCTTCAAATTCTAGCCAAAATGCTCTGAACCAGTTCCATTTACACTACAGAAGCTATAAAAAGGGCCACAAAAGTTGTATCAAATCATTTACAATCGATACTCTCACAAACAAATGTGGAAACTGATGATGAGAAATAAACACCGGGAATTGCTGCCGGCTGCCCCGTCCATCCCCGGCTGTAAAAGTTAATACATCGCCCGGTGCGGCAGCCTGCGCCGCGCCGGCCTATGACAACATTTTCCTGCAGCACGTGAGAGAGTATGCAACCCACCGTGATTTTCCCCCATTGCGTGTGTTGTCTGACTGGAGCGCTACGTACAAATCTTACTTTGTGGCAACAGATGCTGATTTGTTTTGTCCTAAAAATATACAGGTCCGTTTTTATCTCAAAACTTATCAAATTTTTGTGATAACTAACGAGCAGTATTCAAGTTTCGGTCGTAACTTTCTTCGAAAATAGTCAAAACGATGCTGCCATTTTCCTGGACGAATCCATTAATTTTGTAAGGGGTGATATAGTCCCTGTTTTGAGGTTTACATCGTTTCTTGAATACATTTCAAGTACAAAAATAACAGCGTTGCTGTTGAAACCCCTCAGCCAGAGTCAAGTTATCATCCGGAAACCATTAACCTTTAACTCAACGTGGTGACCTTGACCTTTGGCCTTTGACCCCAGAACCAGTCCCAACATGCCTGTACCAATGGGAAGCCCCCTACCGAAGTTAGACACCAACATTTCATTTCTAACTCAAGTTATCATTCGGAACCATTTACATTGAACTCACCACGGTGACCTTGACCTTTGACCTTTTGACCCCAAAACCAATCCCAACTTGCCTGTACCCAAGGGCAAACCCCTACCTCAGTCAGACACCAAAATCTCATTTCTAACTCAAGTTATCATCCGGAAACCATTTACCTTTATCTCACCATGCTGACCTTGACCTTTGACCTTTTGACCCCAAAACCAATCCCAACTTGCCTTCTCCCAAGGGCAACCCTCTTCCAAAGTTAGACACCAAAATCGCATTTCTAACTCAAGTTATCATCCGGAAACCATTTACCTTTAACTCACAATGGTGACCTTGACCTTTGACCTTTTGACCCCAAAACCAATCCCAACTTGCCTACTCCCAAGGGCAACCCTCTACCAAAGTTAGACACCAAAATCTCATTTCTAACTCAAGTTATCATCCTGAAACCATTTACATTTAACTCACCACGGTGACCTTGACCTTTGACCTTTTGACCCCAAAACCAATCCCAACTTGCCTACTCCCAAGGGCAACCCCCTATCAAAGTTAGACACCAAAATCTCATTTCTAACTCAAGTTATCATCCGGAAACCATTTACCTTTATCTCACCATGCTGACCTTGACCTTTGACCTTTTGACCCCAAAACCAATCCCAACTTGCCTTCTCCCAAGGGCAACCCTCTTCCAAAGTTAGACACCAAAATCTCATTTCTAACTCAAGTTATCATCCGGAAACCATTTACATTTAACTCACCACGGTGACCTTGACCTTTGACCTTTTGACCTCAAAACCAATCCCAACTTGCCTACTCCAAAGGGCAACCCCCTACCGAAGTTACAACCCCAAACAACATTTCTAACTCAAGTTATCATCCGGAAACTAAGCTGCCCGGACGGACGGACGGACGGACAGACACACACACATCCGGACGGACGGACGCCCTAGGCGATGACAATACCCCTCGAGCCTCTCGGCTGAGGGGTAAAAATTATATTGTGACGTTGAACAACTGATTATCGAATAAAGAAATGTTTCGGACACCATAAAAAGTATTAGTCGTCTTTTTTCTTTTTTTAAACAGCGGAAATGTTGGTAATTATTGTTTCCAAGATAGTACACCCCTATATTACCTCAAATGGTGTGGTCCGCTGGGGAAAGCATGCAGCAGCACTAGAATCACGTACGGCTTGTTGCAAGCGTCGATCGAAGACAGCTTTCACCGTACTTTTAGCCGCTCGGCACCTTACGTGGCACGTGGTTTCGGTTCGTTAATGACTTTCTTAATTGATAATTCATTTCAGCAACATATCTCTTCTTATACCAGTACATGAAATACACATGTGAATTTCATTTTTATTCTTCAAGGCTCGGCGTATAAGCCGCCCTGTGTATAAGCCGCAGTAAACATTTTCATGGGCAAAATCAATGTATAAGCCGCGGCTTATATTCCGAAAATTACGGTACTTTCAAAAGTTTCGATAGACGGGGGTATTGATTCCGAGGAACGAAATCAAATAGTCTGGTACTCACATGTCAACGCATTTCTAGTAACGCAAACTCCCTTGCGGTACTTGGGTACAATGCACTGTACCGCATGCGCTATGCGTGCGTACCACATTGAGTTGATCAAGCGCAACATGTCAGCACACTCTGCAGTGATAAAGTTAAGTTTCAAAGACCACACTGAATTCCATGACCGGAAGGCAAACAATTTGAAGCACTCTGTGATCTGCAGATTTTCCAAGAGTAAGCTCACAGAGAGGGCTGGCACAAATTCGGCTTTTACGAGGCACCTCGGCCGAGTTCATAAGGCAAAGTATGGAGTCCGAGTCGCTACCGCTAGGCCACCGGACATGTCGCGTCCTGCCTCACAAATGTGGACACGACGGAGTAGGAATTCTTTCGTTCTGATGTGGATACCAACTTTACCAAAGTATGAAAAACACCAAGCATGACTTTATCATTGTTCAGATAATGTTTATTTTCATTGTGTTTTAATTTTGAATTTAAACAAACAATTCTTACCTTATATGTCTGTAGATTGAGCCGGAGTCAGCAAACATCATGAGGGGAAAATGAGAAAAGAAATTTGACCAAATTAAATAAGCGTAAGTACTTAATACGCTGGCAATGCTACCAAACAATTTAAAGGGAATGTACAACATTTGCTTTGGCTGCTATTTTCAGAACTAAATGAATTTGGAGGATCAGTATGTTATAGCAAATATTGTTAAACTGACTTGTTTCAAGTTTTGGGCTTGTAGATGCTGGAAAAAGCAAGAAAACCAATCATGTTCTTGTAGTCTTGTTCCCTGACCCCACTTAAGATGAATCGGAGCAATGTATAGACTTTGGGGAATTGTAAGGTCAGAGAATCAGTCTAGAAGGCTTGTACCCCTTCACAGAAGTGTAATCAATTGCAAAGAAATAAAAAATGCAGAATAACTAATTAGGAAAAGGTAGGAGCAGGTTTTGAAAAAAAAAAAAGTTTTCTCCAACGCTGGTCGGCCGACCAGCGTTGGAAAAATGGAATATTTCTTGAAAATGTCAGCACACCAGGAGCCACGATTTTACAGGACGCTTTAGACTGTCATTCCCTAACAATCAAGCAAGGTTTTTCGTGATAATTTGATCATTTTGTTTTGTAATGTTTGCAAATGATGTATCTTCCCTTTAAGAGTGACAGATTTTCTGGACAATAGCTGGAACACTGCTTCCGTCTATGAAGCAGGCTTCCATGAATGTACAGTGATAATTATGCAGTCTTAGAAATTTGAATTTGAATATGTTCAGGTAATCAGGTTTACAGGATACCAATACAAACACAAAGTACAGGTTACTACTCATTCAAAGTTGCCTCAGACATGGGTTATTTTTCAACAAACTGAGGATATCTTATGAAATTCCTGGGTTAAAGGGAATATACATCATTTGCTTTTGCTGTAATTTTCAGAAATGGATGGAATTGGGGGGTTGGAAATATATAGCAAATATAGTTACACTGACTTTTTTGAGGTTTTGGGTTCGAAAATGCTATAAAAACCAAGAAAAACAATCGTTTTCCTGTACTCTGGTTCCCTGACTCCATATAAGAAGAAACAGAGCAGTTTACATACATTGGGGAATTGTAAGGCCAGGGAACCAGTCTAGCTGGCTTGTACCCGTTCATAGGTGTGTAATAGATTGCAAACAAGTGCGATGGGCAATTGGGGCCAGTATTTGAAAAAAAAGCCAGTTTTTTTCCAACGCTGGTCGGCTGACCAACGTTGGAAATTGATATAAAAATACCACTTTTCTTGAAAATGACAGTATACCAGGTGCCATGATTTTACAGGATGCTTTACACTGTCATTCACTAACAGTTCAGCAAGGTATTTCAAAATGATTTGGTAGTTTTATTTTTTGATGTTTGCAAATGTTGTATTTTCCCTTTAATACAAAAAAACTAGGAAAGTCATTTTTTGGGTTAATTTTTGACTTTGAACACTGATTTTGCAGAAACTGCTTGATAAGCACTACGGTCAAGCCTTTCTGTTCCTTTCCAGTTCTTCTTTGAAGGTCAATTGTGTTGTTATATCGATAACTTTCTTTTTGACCTCAATGACCATCTTCTGTTATTAGCAATGAGATTTATATTCACTTCTTCTTTTTTTTTTTAAGATTACCCTCCCTTTTTTATGCTTACTTGGATATAATAATAATAAGGAAATAAATATGTGCTTGACCGGTTTGGAGTATGTTTAAAACACAGGGATAATGGCCCGAGCTATAGGCGAGGGTGAAACAGTCAAAACAAGTCAAAATTCACAAATTTCCAAAGATTTTGTTCAACAGTTTTACTCGTGTTTTGTGAAACGCCCCTCTTGTCATGTATATGGTATGTGCCTCACGCGCGTTGTGCTAAATATCTCCTTATATGGAAATTGGCGTGTGCGCTGTTTAAAACCAGCCGGTTTTTTATCAGCGGTTTAAAACCACCCACGTGATGGGCTGTCAACCAATAGGAATGGGTAAACTGTCTTAGGTATTTATGAATGCTGTTTACAACATAGGGAAGACTATTAAAGGAGAAATAACAACACCTACCGTAGGGTTACGACCATGTTCTTCCAGTACTCTCAATATAGCGCTCTCAATGACGGACGTCCCACCCTCCTACAGTAAGACAAGGGCAAACCTAGTAAAGCTCTATTCAAAAACATGTAGAATATGCTGTAGCGGTATTGTGGTAATCTACTTGTTCTACATAACCCCCGAGGACAGACACACAAAGGAAGAACAACAGATCCTTTCAGTCCTTGGGAGTTGGGTCTTTTGTTGGAAACGGTCCTCGGTAGGTTTGTGTCTATGGGAGGGTGTTATATTACAGGGACAAAGGAAAACACAAAGCAATGCCCTCGGGAGTATAGTAAAACAAGAGTGTGTGATCATATTTGTGATTGATGTGTCACACAATGCATTTACTGCACATTCCATTGATATATTTTTGTAAACTGAACACAAGCAAACATGGATGAAAGCGATTTGCTGATATCATCTAAAGTCATTCATTAACCCTAACTGCCCTGAATCCTTCAAAATCCTCTTTGCCGAAGTGGAGGAATTTGGAGGATTGAGGTTACATGGCAAAAGTGCATTACTGATTTCGTAGGATGCACTTTGTCAAGGTCTTGGGCAAGACCTTGACATAAATATAGGCCTGGATTATGCTTGAAATCCTCCGTACTGCTCCAGGATGTTACTGGCCAAGCCTCAACATATTGACAGTCTCTGCCGGAGGATTTTGCGGGATTCAGGCAGTGGTCACCCCTCCACGGACCATATTCAAGACATAATGGAGGAATTTGCAGGAGTGAGGCTATATGTTATTTTGCCATCATGAGGCCAATTTGAGGAATTTGCAGGATTGAGGATTTTTATGCTATTTTGCCAAAAGGTCAATTTGAGAATTGTGCAGGATTGAGGACATCCTAGCAAATAGGCCTAGGGAGTTAGGGTTAAGATGCCAGGTCTTTAAAAACAAAATGAGAAGACAATTCTGATTAACTCACCTTGCCAACACCCGTGCATCCAACATATTTCACTTTATGAACAGAACTGAAACACACAAACAATAAATCCTGTTAAAGGAAATATACAACATTTGCTTTTGCTGTAATTTTCAGAAATGGATGGATTTGGGGTTAGTATTTTATACAGTGTAGCAAATATTGTTACACTGTAGCAAATATTGTCGCACTGACCTCTTTAAAGTTTTGTGTTCATGGATGCTAGAAAAACCAAGAAAAACAATAGTATTTTTTGTAGTCTGGTTCCCCGACCCTACTCCAGACGAAATGGAGTGATTTCAATTCCTACCTCCAGCTTTCCTGATTTTAGTCTTAATTTTCTTCTTTCTAGTCCTTTACCAAGAGTGGCTTTTATAGACTTGCTTGGGGCGATTTTGCATTAAAAAAAAATAATAAAATAATAAAAACAAGTATAGACGTCAGGGAATTGTCAGGTCAGGGAACCAGACTAGCTGGCTTTCATCCATTCACGGATATGCAACCGATTGCAAACAAAATGTGGACCAACTAAATTTGATAAATTGGGGGCATTATTTGAAAAAAAATCATTTTTTTCTCCAATGATGGTCAGTTGGCCAACCATTGTTGGAAATTGATACAAAACTTCCACTTTTCTTGAAAATGACAGCACACCAGGTGCAATAATTTCACAGGATGCTTGAGACTATTATTCACTTACAGTCACATAACGTATTTCATAATAATTTGGTAGGTTTGTTTTATATTGTTAGGAAACGTTGTACATTGCAATGTACCTTTATATTATCAATGAAAAGAAGAAAAGGATGATATTGCAAACAACAACAAGTGACAAAAATTCAATTTTGTGAGCAATGGTTGATAACTTGGCAATCATTTGCCAAGGTCAGTAACATGATACAACACTTAACCAGAACCATGTGCAGACACTATGAAAAATATCAAATTACGATCAACAACTGGCAATGTAGCGACCTTAAAATTTTAGATAAAAAATGTCCCCCAGACCGACCAGAACTAGGCTGGTGTACTAACACCAAGATTGGAAATCTGTGGACACACAAGCCGTGAAAAACTTGCCGGAAAGGTCGAGGGGAGCACGGCACGCAATCAAATTACAAAAGGGATTGCAATCCGAACCAACTCATCACCTATACGGTTACCGGCCCGGCCGCGAGCTTGGCGACAAACTATCAATAAAGACATCGTTTGCTGTCTGTTTGGCTTTCATTACAATGGCAGCCTCGTGAACTGACCGAGATCGGATTGCTCCAATAACCGTGTCTAGAGCAATGTCTCATTTGCAAAGGGGATGGGCAGAAATGTCCAATTTATTTTTGTCTTTGTCTTTCTCACACTTGTTTTTAGTAAATTGCATCTTCATTGGGAATCGACTTTTGGCATTTTAAAAATGCCACAAGAAATGCCGCAAGTCTCAAACCCGAAGTTTTTGTTTACAAAAGATAAAAAGGTCATTTAAACTACCTATAAGAATGTATGTACTGGTATGTGTGCATGCGTTTGTTTATGGAGTAAATCAAGGGCACACATGTGCAACATCATCGGTGAATCGAGGACAGGAACCAAATCGAGGACGACCTCAATTAGAAAACGTGTACAAAACCAATGAGAGCTGTTGCGAAAAAGTACAAAAAAGGAAAAGGGAAGAGGAACAAAAGAAACACCTCGATTTACACCATAAACAAACAGTAGGTGTCAGTGTGAGTGTTATGTTTTGGTGAGGTTAACTCTTGTCAGCACGATAACTTGAGAAATACTTAATCATCTTGATTAAACGGACAGTTACGATATCGCAATTTCCCTACAACCAAACAAAATAGATTTTTAAGATGTCAATGTCTTTGCATCTAATACATCAGCACAATGTACCTGTAGCTTGATTATTTTTTGGGAAAGGAGCTAGACCATCAATTGGGAGCCGAAAGCTGAAAGCTGGGAAGCGCAAATGAACACCTAAAAACCAGCTACAGGCAATTAAACTTTGCCATCAAAGGGTAGAATTACAAAAGCCCTCTGTCTAGCAAGCACGTACATTGTAACATGACACCAAAATCAATACAATAAAATAACAGACCGATAACGTTTCTTACTGGGTCATTTTAAGTTGAATATTTGTCCAACTAAATTATATTGAATGCCTTTTTAACATAATTTAAACCTAGAGCAGTCCATTTTCGAATAATTTAGTATTCGATTATTCAAATCTGCGTTTGACTGAATATTTGAATATTCGAAAATTGGCAGTCAAGTTTACAGCTGCAACTGCATGCCGCACCTGTCAAACGTTGCACGCAAAGCGCACCGGTTAAAATTTGCGTGCGCGATCGATGTCATGGACCACAGGAATGTTTTGCAGTGTTATATGGATTTAACCTGCTAAAAGGATGGGAACAATGAACCCGTCGACAAAAAAAGTTACTGTCAACTAAAAGGGGCATCTGACAATGAAGCGCAGCAACTTTATGATTAAAATTACATCACAGTCGTGTTTTTACACAACATGTAAGGGTAATTGTTTATCTTTTGAATATTCGAACCAGCAAAAAGCTATTTGAATATTCAGTTGATTATCAAATATTCAACTATTCGGTATATTCCGGACAGACCCATTTAAACCACATGATAAGCATACATGAAGTACCGGTAAGTTTAGTTTGGATGTAATATACTTAAATTACTGATTAGGAAGTACAATTCTACCATTCCTGATGTGAAAGCTACTGCCAAGGTTAACTTGACGTAAAAATCAGCCTGCAAAGATAGACTCTGAAACAGGCTTCTAGCAAAGGAGCAGTTGAACAAAAGACAGCTTGAAACAGCTATTTGACTTGAAAATATTATAGCTTCATTAAAGAAAAACTTGAAAACAGACCAATTCCTGCACAGGATTTGAAAATAGACTACCGCCAGCAAAGAACCAGACAAGACACTTTCTCCTCCTAAAGGCTTAAAATCTCAAAGAGAGGAACCCTTGACTTGAGAAAAGACTACCTGCTGGACACAAGAACATATTGAAAGTGCTTGAAAACAGACTAAGCCTACATCAAACGACTTGAAAACAGACTAACCTTCCACTGAGTTTGTGTGAGATGTCCCGCTGATCTTTGTCCTTAGATGACTTCCTGTTATGGTTCGGATCTCTGTCGATGGGAACCTTGAAGCCTGCGTACTCGTCCCTCAATACTGCAAGGTGGTCCTTTATGTTGTAGAATACCTTTCCGGTTCTCAAATGACACTGTTGAAAAAGGGGGGAAAAATGAGCGGGATTATGATGATGGAGCTCATTTTCTATAGCGACTATGGACTCCTTGGCACAAATACCCCCTCAACGGTTACAAAAGGAGAGTTGGGGGAGACCACTGGGAGAGACATTCAAACTAATTGCTGACGCTCCCTGACGCTCACGTGAAAATTTTTGGGTTTGTGTGTATTCAAAAGCAAATACGTTGTGCTTACTAGGTGCAGGGTACATGTACATGCATGGTTCCTTATGGGGCAGAAAACACAATAGACAATAAGCCAGTTCGATATTCCAACTGTGCATCAAAATGTGACGATTTTTCTTTTGGGATGAACATTTCATAGTATGCGTGCAAAAGCATAGCGGGGTACCAGCAAAATTGAAAAGATCGTCATGTTCTGAAGTAACATTTTGCAAAAAAACGTTTGGACAGCGAACTGTTTTTAGGTGTCTTGGGTGTCCAAATTTTTGTGTGAACAAAAGTTTCCATCTCTTTTCGATTGCGAGAAAACTTACACAAAATGCAGATCGGTTACCATGTCCCCCATAGCCTTGTGTGCATTTATCTGCCACGTTTTGGAATACTAAACTGGCTTATAGACCCCACAAGGAAGTCTTTAGAAACCTATCTGCCCCATAAGGGAAACGCTATGGAGTTTGAGATTTCAATAGGAACAGAGGAAAACAAAAGAGGGGAAACAAAGGTCTTCCCACAAGTATATGTATTTACGGCTTTGTGCGCTTCCACCTTATGAATGATTTTAAAGCTATGTGATGATCTGCAAGTTTTCAAATTTCAAAGATTTTGAAGCGAGAATTGGATTGTCTATGCATGGCTATAACGGTGCAGCTCTGAATATTTTTATTTTGCTTGAGTAGGTCACATATTGAATGATTTTTTTGTCAAATGAAGAACATAAGATGAAACAATGTTTTGGAATTTCAAGACAGCTCCAAATCCACCAAATAAATGATGATGTCAAGACCAATCCGAAAAAAAGTCACAAAAATAATACCCAAATAAATATCACAAAAATAAAACAAACAGATTGAAGATCTGGACTTGATCTATGATCATACCTTTATAACTGATATGTAAATTGGCCAACCCTCGTGTTGTCTAAGTATAGAGGGAATCTGTAGAGATTTAAAAATGAAAAAAAGAGAGAAAGAAAAATGAGAAATGAAAGAATGTCCTCCACATTCACGTTCCAAAACTAAACCTCAGAGTGAAGTTTTTACCCAGAGAGTTTCCAACCAAATCATAGAGAAAATCCAAATTGAAAACAGATTGGATCTATTCAAAACAACCTGCATACCTGTCCCAATTGGAATTTTAAAGTGTGATTTAGTGTCTACTTTGACCCAGATTCGGTGCCCGATTGTTCCATGTGCAAAGGTGAGTCTAAATTGGGTGTTGGCTGAGCATTTTGTTTTCAAAAATGTTTAAGTAATACACTTTAAAAATAAGATTTGAAGGATTGCACGGTGAAGATACAAATAACAGTTTACGGTAGCACCATGTGGCAAATCTCTTTTATTAGTTTGTGAGGTTCTGGAAAGAACTGGGGGGAAACTCAACGTTTCGGTCAGTTACTCTGGCGATCGTCAGGAGAAATAAAGGTATTTCTACACATGTGGTGTGCCGTGGCATCATGGTCTGGATGGATTTGTGGTCTGCGAGTAATTCTGCAGGTGGTGGGTTCGAGTCCAGCCTGTGGCTATAATGCGTGTGCCCTTGGGCAAGGCATTTAGAGAAGATCAGTTTATACTTGTTGATTGGTATAATATTTGACCGTTTCAAAAGATCACACAGTTTGCCTCATTTTGGAAATGATCTAGGGATACAACGCTGAGGAGAGTGCGGTAAATAAAGGCTAACTGAGGATGGATGATGAGAACTAAAACCCTGTCCTATGTTGTTTCTTTTGTTCAGTATTGTCTTACCTTGCCCCCTTTGGCACTGCCATAAAGAGATTTTCCATACAGTTCATCCAGTATATCACCGGGCTCTAATCTATCCTGCAGAAGTAATTATTAAAGAAGACACACGTTTCAGTCGTCGACTAATTTTGATGCATTTTCAGAAGATAAAATGCCTCTGAACTGTCTATCGAATATTTGAATATTCGATCGTTTATTGAATATCTGAATACCTATTGATTTGGTTATTTGTAAATAAACTGGAGTTTAATGGAAAGAATGCAAAAACTGACTTTTTGTTATCAGAGCTGTGTTTCTCATATGGGCAATAGTGGACACAGCTTAAAAGTGCAAATTTTCAATTACAGTGCACACTTACTTTGTGTGCACCTATGCAGTCACTTTGTGTGCACCTGCACACTTACTTTGGGTGCACCTACGCACTTACTTTGGGTGCACCTACGCACTTACTTTGTGTGCACCTACATATTTCCTTTGTGTGCACCTACACATTTTGCTTTGTACGCACCTTAACACTTACATCGTGTGCACCTCACCCTTTTTGTTGTGTGCACCTACACACTTTACTTTGTGTGCACCTACACACTGACTTCTTGAGCACCCAGACACTTTCCTTATGTGCACCTACGCACTAACTTCTTGAGCACCAACACACTTTACTTTGTGTGCACCTTCACACTTACTTCGTACGCACCCACACACTTTTTCTTTATATGCACCTACACACTTTATTTTGTGCGCACCTATACACTTTTCTTTGTGTGCACCTACACACTAACTTCTTGAGCACCTATACACTTTTCTTTATGTGCACCTACGCACTAACTTCTGGAGCACCAACACACTTTACTTTGTGTGCACCTTCACACTTACTTCGTATGTACCCACACACTTTTTCTTTATATGCACCTACACACTTTATTTTGTGCGCACCTATACACTTTTCTTTCTGTGTACCTACACACTAACTTCTTGAGCACCTATACACTTTTCTTTATGTGCACCTACACACTAACTTCTTGAGCACCTAGACACTTTTCCTTATGTGCACCTAGACACTTTTCCTTATGTGCACCTAGACACTTTTCCTTATGTGCACCTACACACTAACTTCTTGAGCACTTAGACACTTTTCTTTATGTGCACCTACACACTAACTTCTTGAGTACCTTCACACTTTTCTTTATGTGCACCTACACACTTACTTTGTGTGCACCTATACTGTCTGGCTTCACCTCAGCCACCAGGACCCGATTCCTGATGTGTCTGATGACCACGCCTAGGTCTTTACATGGGACAAACTCATACTGGCGGTAGACGGGTAGGGTCCACGTCTCATCAAGAAAACTGGCATTCTGAATTGGAAAAAAATCAACAGTGACACAGACTAAAGTCATTAAATTACCATTTTTTGCAACATACATCGTATTTTAACCAATCACATCATGCACCCTAACATGAATATTTATCACTCTGTGTGGATGGAAGGCACTAAGGTTCTCGTAGTGTTTTCCCTTCAATTAAACTTATCCCAACCAACAAAATATTCCATGAAAATGGACATAGGTTGGAACCACAGATCTCGCGATCCATAGTTCATTCCACTATCCACTAGGCCACTGTGGCAGCTCGACGAAAGCCGTTTTTTGAAATGCTTTGATGTACATGCATGACTGAGTTATAGCAATGATGTGATGTCATTGTAATTGTCTTATGAATAAACATCAAACTAGCTGAATAATCATGATCCGTTGACGAGGTGTGCTGCAGATAAAAACACCGCGCGCACTATACAATTCATAGAAAAGTATTAACAGAGAAACATAAGATCCAATATTCCAAAAAAAAAAAAATATCAATTTAAATTAACTATAAAAGTATAAAATCGGCTATGATGTATACACAGCAATATCTTTGTGAAAATTCAACTGAAGAACAAAAATTGAGCAATCAGACGTACACAAGGGACATCAAAAGCGAAAATATACAAAAAGTAAATGTATGATAAAAAAAAAAGAAGCAATGATTTACAGCATAACAGTATGAGTGATCAGTTATCAGTTACATGGAATTTTTGATTTATTTGTTTTATCTTTTTGTGTTCTGGAAAGAAAAAAATTTCCGATTTTATTCAGTCACATCTGGATATTCCATATTTGGAGCATCAGTCAAAACGCTAGTCACGTCTCAGTGTTAGAGTCAAGACTTTGTTGAGGAGTTCAAGTGCGGCAGAAAAAATTCAAGTTTGAGTACAAGTGCAAGCACAACGGCACTTTGGCTGAAATCTTGAAATATTTTGGTGCACAAGTATCATTGAAAATTTCAGATTACATTACGAGATAAAAACAAATACGGAAGTACTGCAGCACTGCTATTTCTGTAGAAAAATAAAGAAATCAAATACATCACAAACTTCTTGAAACAAGAGGTCTGCACATTCTCGGTAAAAAAAATACGAACAAGCAGGATTCTAAACTAAGGTGAGCAGTGGTATGGAAATATGAATAATTTTGAAAAGAATACTTCCTCTGCTAGACTGGTAGCTTACTAGTTTTCAAAACGTGGTGGGCAGCCGTGTTAGTCATTCAGCATAGTGATTTAAACCCGTCCGGTCATGTGACCACCTTTTGGGTGATCACATGACAGCAGATCATCGTAGATGTCGGGCAGGTCGTATCCGGTGTCTCTGTTAAGAGATGGCTTTTGTGTCCTGATTTCGATTGCTTCCTGTATCTTCCTCTTCCCGAACTGATCCTCCCTGGTTAATAACTTGGACATTTTCCAAGCTGATGGAGTGCTGGTGGTCACATGACCGGAGTGGTTTAAAGCACTACACTGAATGAAGATGTCGCGATGAAATCGCAAGCTACATTGCTACACTACTTTGATTTCAAAAAGGTATCTAATATTTTCTTTATCAACGTGATGGAATCCAAAATCAGTATACATGCATATAGTTTTCAAAAGTAATGACATACTGAAAAACTACTTGCCTTAATATTGAGGTCAAACTGAATTTCCGATGCCCAGAACAGAAGTGAAGTCAGTGATTCTGGAGTGATGAGAAAATTATACAAGGATCAATCGTTTGTTTAACCCCTCCTTTTGTTGATCAGTCACAGACAGTCAAAACTTCAATCCTGTTCCCCTGCCATGCCTTTTACACAGACTAGTCACCAACAGTCAGATCATATTTCAATAGGCGCCCTGACTAGTCAAATTCCATCAACAGACAAAAGCAGGTAACTGGTAGGCACGACCGGCTAATCAATCTCCTACGGTCGAAGCATAGCTGTATCAGGTTTTATAACAATCACAGCCAGTCAATCCTGCTTTATGATGAAAAGGAACACTCATCAACTGTTAAAAATAGTCACTTGACTGCTGGGCTGGCCTTGTGGAAATTGCAAGCCAGAACTAAAATGAGGCCCCCCCAAAAAAAGAATTTGTTTAAAATGAACAATTTTGCTTTATAAATACTTTTAACGACGTAGCCTGAAACTCACCTACAAGCAGCTCGCTACCGATGATGGACAGAAGAGGGTCGTACCAGGTCTGTGCAAGAAACAAACACGTCCTTTGATTTCGTAACATTCTAGATAATTAGTCTAACTAACAAATTTGTTCATTTCGTTTTCAATGGAGTCATGAGCCAAATGCAAATCACGGTGAACTTTGACCTTTCGACCCACCCCAGACACTATAGGGTCTGATAGTTGACCCCTGGTGGCGCGCTTTCGTAACCATTGAATAGCAAAATTCACATGCAAAAAGTCCACAATTGCAAGTATTTTTCGTTCATTGATTTCTTAAGAAAATCACTGACGGAAAAGGCCTGTGTAAAATTGCTACATGGACTAGCATATCAATTTATGCAAACTGATAAATCGCCTGACATGAAAGAGAAACATCCTGCCTTTTGACCTCTCACTTCCAAAAATCGAAAATTGTGCGGACTAGTGTGATTTACGGAGGCACACCCCAAAGTGAACGTAGATGAGAATGTCTGAAATTTGTGGTGGTCGTTAGGTGACAACTGAAAGCGAAAAAGAAGACCAAAATGTCTTTTAGGGTTTTCAAATTGTGTGAATAAACTTGAAGGACTCATCAGTACTGACGAAAAAAATGAGCTAAAATTGACTTGAGAGGACTGCACCCAAGATCCGGAGCCAATTTCATGGCGCTGCTAGGCACAAAAATTTGCTTAGCACAAAAAAGTCTGGCTTAGTAAAAGCAGGTTACCAGCCAAACTGCATGTGATTTTCATGCTAAGCAAAATACCAATCACAAGCAATATACATCACATGGACATTTGGTTGGTAATCCTGTTTTTGCCAAGACATTTCATGCTAAGCAAATTTCTGTGCTTAGCAGCTCCATGAAAATGGCCCCTGATCAAGCCAGTCCCACTGAATCTAGAACCCATCGGCTGTACCGGTAGGTAGGTAAATATTCGCAACGTTCTATATTCTCATTCTCATGCAATTATAAGATATGTAATCAAACATGCAATAACAAGGAGACCTAGGAACGACAATGCCAGATGTGAACGGTCGTAAATGAAATTCGGTTTTTACCCACCATCTCCGAGTGATTTTTCCTCAATTTTACTTGAAGAATACCAGAATAAAATTCAAGCATGAGAGTTTCTTGGGTTGGTTACAATTAGAAATTATTCCGCCAAAAATTACAGAAGGTGAAAGGGCTACGCAATGTAAAATACCCAAGGTGGGCCACGTGAGGGTTCCGGAAGCTGAGCTGCGTGACCTTTTACTTTCAGGCTCCGTTGCCTCTAGACATTAGCTATAATGCATAGATGACCGACCATGTCAAACCAATCTGCACTGCATTTGCACATTCTAGTGATGCTATTATAGACTCAGTGATGCTAAATTATAGACATGCACTTGTGCTCTTCGTATTTACTTTGTGCGAGGATTTGTTGTTCAAATATTAATACTAGGAACAGATGCAGAAATAGATGCCACCGTTAAAAGCACTGGTTTCATTTTTGCCACATTTAATGCCACAGCGTGCGAATGCATACACAGTACAACATCTACATGTAGGTTTAATTGTTTGCTGCTTTTTGTACATAATGATATTCATCAAATCATACTAAACCTATTGAAAGAAGCTTTGTACATTCGCCAAAATCCAGCAATTTTGTTACACGAAAGGTATATTCCCTTGTTTTTAAACAAAATTGGGACATCAAGGCATAGTAGGGCTCCGGATAGACCTTATGCGTTGCAGGTTTAAGATGGTGTTTTTTTTGCTATTTTCATTAAAGTAACAATAAATGCACAATAGAAAACCATTGCCCTTTAAGTCTGCTTTAACGCATAAGCTCTATCCGTGAAAATTCTGCCAAACCACAGACTGAAAAGTTGGCAGATTTGGGACGTTAGGGTTAAAGGTCCAATAAATGTTTGAATAATACTGCTTCAATAGATAAAGTAGGAGAAAATTACCAGTAGCTGTGTAATTTTTTTTTCAATGGGGAGGAGTGGGAACAGTGGGCTTGGGTAAAGAGGGGTAATGATGGGGGATGGGTGCCGTGGTGAGATGTGTAGGGGCGAGGTGGGTAGGGGTGGGGGGGGGAACGGGGGCCATGCTCCTTCCCCCCTCCCCAACAAATTTCCTTTTTTAAATTTTCAGGAAATAAAACGTTGCGTATCTAACTCGCAAGTCATCAGCAACACATACGTTTTAGTTTTAATATTACAATGTGAAAATAGCGCAAGATGCTATATGCTTCGTCGGGTGCACCACGAAGTGACGTATCATCTATGGACTTTGTGGACACGATACGTCACTTCGTGGTGCAACCGACGACTTAATCCCCTTCCCCTTTTTGAAAAAAATAAAATACTCCAGCCCTCTTGGCCCCCCCCCCCCAAAAAAAAATTGGTTCTGGATCCGTCCATGGCTGGGAAAATTAGGAATGGGGGTGGGATGGAAGTGAGGTGAGTAGGGGTGGGGCCTGGGGTGGGTAGGAACTTGGGTGGAGGTGATTATTGGAGTAGGGGTAAGGGTGCTTATTGGCAAGGGGTAGGGGTGGGGGAACGTTAGGGATCGGGAGGGCCAGGAGAATTGGGGTTGGTGACTCGGGTGAGGTAATGGGGTAGGAATGAGGTGTATATTAATATGTTAATATTTAGCTTCCTTTTAAATAGTGACCCCTTGACCCCGAAGTCACTAATTTTTGTGAAAGGGGTGGGGTGGGGGGAGGGGGGTTTAGATTGCGTCAATCCTACCTCAAGCATCCTTGAGTTCTTAAGAAGTTGCTCTATAGGCACAGCAAGAATCTTTTTATGGAGGCAGATGCGAAGCAGTAGGCGACCACGCCCCTGGTGGGATCTCACCTGAGTGGTGGAGAATTTTAAAAGAAAGTTATTGATTTTGACTCAAAATAATAAGAAAGTCTGTGCTGAAAACCTGCAGTTGAAGGAGCAGAGTTAACGTTCTCAGTTGAAAGCATACATACATGTACATGCACACGTAGATATGCATATTACCTATCTAGCAAATTTAATGCTAATGGTTTAAAAAATAAGGCAAATTGTGGCATGGGATGGATACAGAAAAACGCACCACCGAACATCAATTTAAAACGAATAAAGAAAAAAAGGGAAGAGAGTTTATTCTCTTTAATTTTCAAACGTTGGCTTTAGTGATGGGATATAAATCTGGATTTTCTAAAAATCAGTTTTGAATTCCACCATTCAGTTTCGATTTTGGAAACCGAATATTTGAAACCAACCTTAAAAAAAATTCAGTCTTTTATTTTTTGTGACACAGGCTGAAGAAAACATATGGAACACCCCAAATTTGGTTCATGGTCTCTGACTGTAATTGCATTCACTTGCTAGTCTTCTTGCTCTTGCTTTATGAATAGCTTGCCCTATCGACTTATCAGAGAATTCCCAACCAAAATTCAACATTAAAGCTCTAGTGTGTCTTTGTTTATAAGCCCAGTGGTCATTGAATCCTGCAAACTATACCCAGTCAATGGGAGGGCATTGCATGTGGCACCTCACTCGTCACTTTGTGTTGGCATGACATGCGCTAACTCATCGTTCTTACGCGTGGATATACATTAACTCTTCCTGGGCGCAGACATTTTGAATTCATGTGTGTGTTTGAAGAACATAATGAAGTTAGATGGAGTGAATTTTTGAAAGTGTACTCTAAATGCAACGCAAAAGTGCAACTTACGCAAACAACTTAAGCGCGTCATGACTGTTAAAAAAAAAGTCATGGCAAAAATCTTCTGCAGCGGATACGCACACGGGTTTGCGTTTTTTGCGCAGAGAAAATGAAACGCTCATCTACTGTTTGTGCGTTTCGGTTTTGGGCGTATCGGCTTCGATAACACACCTGTGTAGAATGCATTTGTACAAACGCAGATATGCAAATAGCCGTACAAAAGCCGTACAATATTTCAAGTTTTCCATAGGTTTGTGTACAAACATGGATGCACCCAGCAGGCATCACTTTGTACATAGAGTCAGCACTCTAGTAATTTTATATGGCCACGCCACAATGTACATGTAGAATAAGACCAGCCTGAAATTTTAACATGGGAAGATTTTAAAGCTTTTCCATCTGGAGCCTGTGAAGCATAACAGGCAAACAGTAATAAATAACCTACATGTACATGCATATGTACATGATACAGACAACTGAAATTGGTTTGTGAATTACATTGTAAGCTGCACCTGAATTATGGGGCTACGACTTTCAATAACACATTTGTCTACGGATACGGCTGAAGCTATCTCCCATAGACTTGTGTGTTTCTTTTAGCCATAGCCATATAATTCGGACGCGGTTTTGAGGCTACCTTGTTGGATGACTTGCAGGCTTCAATGGCTATTGGGAACATGGGATGCAGCCTGCATAATTAGGGGGAAAAAGAGCAACGTGACAATGTAATGCATGACTGGCCGTGTTGGGAACTGCTATCGAGAGCAGCCAGAGACAAATGAAAATTGCTAGGGAATGGATGTTAGGAAAACATGTGGTTATTCCATATGGCTATACCGGTACCTTCACAAAAATTGCTCGCTGAAAACATTTGTGCCTTAATTTGCTCAGAAACTTTATACTGTCATGTACGCAAAAAAAAACAACTGAATCACTAAAAAAAAAACCAGAAAATTGATCACAGCAGAAAATCTATTCTACTGAATGCTATATTAGGGCGACAGATTTTGCTAATCACGTCTACATTAGGGCGACACACCTTATTGGGGCGACACATAACTGCCGCCCTATTGTTAAAATGACCCTTAAGAGAAGGAATCTTTTTGTCGCAAACCATCTACATGTAGATCGATTCCTCATGGTCCACTTAATAAAAATACTGAATTTCGTGGAGTAAGGATAAAAGGTAAACTTAGGTTAGATGACATTTTAGGTCTGTGCACAAGTCTGTGGAAAAGTCGCCCTATTATAGCATCCAGGATAATTATTATAACTCTGGCAACTTTTGATGCCAAAGCAGCTGTACAACTCCTGAAGCTCCTGTCTTCAATGACATCACAGTTTTTGCTCATACATGTAAATATGGATTTGCACAAGCTTAACATAGCAAATCAAAAACTCACCAAAACAAAAATTGAAAATGGTATTAAAGTGAAGCTCAGAGATAAAGTTAACATGGGACAAAAGGTGCATTTTTAAGAATGGCATTACAAAAAAATTATATTAGGGCCTATATGGGCCATTCAAGTACATGTATATTCACAATCACAGCTAAACTACTGCATTTACAATTATCAAAACATCACTAAATCCCCGGAAATCATCCTATAAAATGTTCAATATGTATTTCAGCTTTATCAACCACTACACTACCAGACTCTAAAAACATGTTCAAATTTACCATGAAAAAAAAAGATTGAAATGGTGAGCCTACATGTAGTTGACCAAAACTAGAAAAAAAAACTGAGAAAAAAAAAAGACAATTCATGTATGCAATATCCCCATTATTGCTGGACTCCAAAGGCCAGCCTACTGTTCTCTGACTGACTGAGCCACCAACTGATTGACTTACTGACTCAGTCACTGAGTATAACTAATGTTCTTGTAAGGCGGCAGAACGCCATTCCTCAATCTATGACAAATTAGCTCAAGTTGTCTACTGACACTCGTTCGAATGGGCCATGTTTTGTCAACCACAAACTTGAAAAATGGACACTACGGCAAACTCTTGGTGAACACTACATTGTGAATCGCCCAAATTCTTCAACACCTGACCATCATTTGCAACATTTACTCTGATTCTACTCTCATTAACTCATTTTGAGGAGAACGAGACTAGATTTGAGGCTCATAAATTTTAACTGTCTCATCAGTATGCCCAGACGACACTATTAAAATCAATCAAGCATGACGAAGTGTGTCTGCGTCGATGGTAAACAACAATGCCTCAGTGCAATTGAGCACAGATATCCTGGTAGGTAGTTAATCTATTAGGGAGGAGTCACTATTGGCCCTGTGTAGGGACCGCAGATGGGCTACTGGCAAGCGCTTTTTTTTTTTTTGACAAGAGCCAATCAGGGCAATTCAGTTGCCCTTTAAACGTGAAAGGGGCCATGCAATGTAATCTTTTATTGCCATCTTCAAAAATACTGTGCACAAGTGGGACTTGCGCAATCCCCCTGGCATGCTGGCATTTTTTTTCTCTGAAAAAGTCAGTGTCCCTAACCAAAATGGAAGATTTCTATTGTTTTAGCAAAAGTGACCTTGACCTCTGACCTGTAGGCCCCAAAAACAATAGGCTGGATAAGACTACCAAGAGCAACCCACAAACCAAATTTGAAGTTCCTAAGTAAAGTATTTCTCAAGCATTCGTGCCGACAATATTTCTATTGTTTTAGCAATAGTGACCTTGACCTTTGACCTGTCGGCCCAAAAATCAACAGGCTTCTTAACACTATCAAGAACAACTCACAAACCAAATTTCAAGTTTCTATGTAAAGTATTTCCCAAGTTATGAGCTGAGAAGTGTCAACCTAACCAAATCATATAATTACAGACATACACACAGAAGGAAGATGCTATCGCAATATCCCCCTCCGGCTTACAGCCAGGGGGATAAATATGCACCTTTGTGTCCCATTTAACCTCATTTTCAATTGTCGTTTTGCCATTTTCAAGGGTATTTTGGTGACCTTTTGGTTTTATGCCGTATTCATGAGCAAAACTCTGATGTAATTCCGGGCAGAAACCTCAATGTTACAGCTATATCAGCACCAAAAGTTGCTAGAATTTTGGATATTTTGATGTCATAATTTTTCTTCTCTTTGGTGATTTGTTGTTGTTGTCAGTACATGGCAGTAAGCCAGTGAGCAACCCTTTCTCCCAAACGTTCTCAATGAGCAAATTTTGGGTTCACAGTTTGAACAGAAAACCCTAAAACTGAACAGTGTCTTCCTGAACTGACATAAAAAGGAACGCCCTAATCATGCGAAAGGCTTTTGACAAAAGTGTGTCATTTCTGACAAACAATAAAAAATATGCAACTAATACGATTAATAAGAACATTCGGATATTTGGTCGATTGAATATTTGAATATTGGTATATTTGTCACAGCCCTACAAATTCATTGGGGCTAAAATCAGCAATCGCATGTACATAGAAAGGACTTTCTGAATAAGTAAATGCCCCCTCAACAGCTACGAAAAGAGAGTTAAGGCTGGTTCGTGCTCGGTGCGAAAGTGAACATGAATTTATGCAAATTTGGTAACAAAACTTGCGAACAGTTGAACACTTCAACTTCGCATATTTGAATATTTCCTTGATATCATATTCGCTTCAAATTTGCATGAACTATGAACCGGCTTTTAGGTGGGACTACTTATGCCAGTCTGTGCACATTCACAAAAGCGCACATATCCACCAATGTTGGTGCTCAAGGCGCTACATCATTATTACCCTGCTCATTGGGCCAATGAAACATTCCAAAGACAATCTCAGCTCCCTGGGGAGTATACAGCTCCACGCTGCCATTTTGGCGCAAAGCAGCTAAAATCAATCACAATAACCATCTCTGCCCTCACAGGTACCCATTTTACTCCTGGGTGGAGAGAAGCAATGAGTGACACAGTGCCTCGCCCAAGGGCACACGCACCATAACCCCAGGCTGGGCTCGAACCCACAACCTGCGGAATTACCCGCAGACCACAAATTCAATGCTCCAGATCATGAGGCCACGGCACTCCACATGAAATTCATGGTAGTTGCACACTGCATGCACAAACCAGTTCGTGCATGAAGTGTGTCCAACATATGGAGTTCTCATTACTGCTCACAGAGCACTACGTGAATATACTGTTCATGCACAAAGTCCATGTATACACAAATGTACAGAATATTATAAGTCCATAAATGTGGGGTCCAGAAAAGTGACTTTTTTTTGTCCCTGTTAACCCTGAACTGTGTAATTTGCCATACAACTATCATGAGAATAGACTTCAAACTATTATTCTAAGAGTTGGGCAGGTATTTTGTTTAATACATAATCAATCTTGAAGATAGAAGGCACTACAGAGCGTATCCTGAATTTACAAAATGGGTGATTCCATAAATTTGGGGCCCAATATTTTGTGTCCCTGTTACATCTGACGTGGATACGATTTTGCAATTCAGGACACATTCTTTTCATTAAAAGGGACACTAGGTCCTAGAACAGCCCAATTGGGCTACAAAACGCGCTTTGAACGAAATGATGTTAATCTGAAAGAACATTTAAAAGTAAGATATACATGTAAACATCCACACAACTATCCTTTCAAAACTGGGTGTTTTTGTGTTATTCCTGTATTATGCGTGCGTGAACGAATTTCGGGGTCCACTTTTGCGACCCCAAAAATTCGATCTGTTTTGATGCTAGTTGTGATTTCATCCGTAAAGTGTTCACCTTTTGCGGACGTGTAAGAAACTATATTTTGTGCGTTGGTGATTGGTCACCACGCGCTGTTCGCGCGCACGGTGCTGTGTATATACATAGCGTACGTACATTGACTGAAAGTGAAAACAACAGGAAAAGCGTATTCGTACACCGTCGTGTCCGATGTAAACAACCGAGGTTTTTTCGTCTTTTCTTGGGAACGGTAAGACATTAGGTTGGTTTCCTTTTGAACCAGATGTTTGAAATAGGATAAGTAAACGATCCAAAACTTGACATTTTCGGGGATTTCAGGACCGAGTGCCCCTTTAATGCCTTCTATATCCAAGAGTCATTATGTAAAGCAAAGTATCTGCTGAACATAAAAAATAGTGTGAAGTAAATTTTAATGGTACTTGTATGGAAAATTACCGGGGTACACAGGTCAGATGTAACAGGGACACAGAAAAAATGTCATACTTTTTGACCCTAAATTGATGGAGTGACCCATGTCCATACCTGGCACTCCCTGGGGCAGTGATCATGGATTCCATCCAACACCAGTAGTCTCGTTTGTATAAGCCAAACAAGGAGCCAGGCTCTGTTGGGTAAAATTCAGTCAAATACCGAATGGTCAAAAATCATGAATACAGCTCCTGTTTGTTCAATGGCCCTGACAGACATTTCAAATAGTAGCCAATTTTTTTAAATACAATTTATGTTCAACTTTTAATTTCTCCTTTGGAAAATTTAAGTTTTACATTAAGTTGGATAATATAAATCGCTAACCTTAATTCCCAAATCCTCCAAAATCCTCTTTGCATAAGTGTAGGATTTCCAAGGATTGAGGCTGTATGGCAAAAATGTGTCAGTTGATTTTTGGAGGATGCATTGTGCCAAGGTCTAGGCTGAACCTCGTCTTGTTTATGCTCAGCCATGCATAATTTTAGGCCCAGATTATACTTGAATTATCTGCACTGCTTATGAAAATCATCCGCTCTGCCTCAGCATATTACTAGTGAACAATGATTGTTGGAAGATTTTGCAGGATTGAGGCAGTTGTAACCCATCCGATTAACAGATTAACAAATTCAAGAAATAACGGATGATTTTGCAGGATTGAGACTGTATGCAATTTTTTACATTGGAGGCAGTTGGAGGATTTTGCAGGATTGAGGTTGCATCCTACCAAACGCCTAGAGGGGGTTAGGGAATAAGGAAATATTTGTAGTCTTCGAAAAGGGACAAATTTCACTTTGACTGAAAATTTTGCTCATCAGGTTTGATTGAATCAGCATAGAGCGAGTCTAAGTAATATACATCAAATTACAGTTCAGCAGGTAACAAGCATTCATGTTGCAGATTTTTTAAATGATTAGGTCCTCATAATAATTTTAAAAAATACACCAATTATGTGATGTCAGGTGTTCGGTATTCTGCAATGAAATGGTACCCAATAACAACAGCATAATGTTGCACAAGTCACAGACATCACTTTGGGGGTGGGGGAGGGAGAGGGGGAGGTACATGTAGTTGTAGGTGGTCGTGGGGAGGGAATAAGGGGGGGTTGTCAGCAAAATTGTTGTTCTGTCAGTAAAATCATATGTCTGTTGGCGTAATCCTTCAAGAATTCTGCCACCTATCATTCGACTTGTCCACTTTAAAAAGTGACAGTTGTGTGACACTTGTGTTCAGAACACCCCCCCCCCCTTTTTTTAATTTGCAGCAGCCAGGTGATGAGACAATTTCTGGCTACCTTTACCAACAGAGAATGATCTGTAGGCAATTATTGTTGTGACCACACCCCCATTCAACGTGGTCGGGTGACCCTCATGACTTACGCTTTAATATCGTGATTCCGTGCAATGAGTGAGTAGCACTATACTTACTTTTCAGTCCCTTGCGCAGGATGCACTCCATTGTATCACAAAGAATCAGAAGGTCTGGGTCGCCGTCTGTGATTGGCTGTTTGTTCTCCTTCAGCCTCAACAACACAGCTACAAAGTACAATACATACATGCAATAAACATAAAGAAAGAGAACTGTAAGGTTTTAACGAACCTTACAGACAGACCAATCTAAGTTGCTGTGGAAGACAATATTCAGTATTTTTTTTCGACCTCAAGTCAAGCAACACTCGAGTCAAGCAACACTCCGAACATTCAGATGCCACTTTGTGGGTTGTGTACAAAGTCTTTGGAGAGTCAAGAATATTTGCAAAGTGTTTTCTAACATAACAAAATTGAAAGTGTTTCTCAGTCCCAGATTACTGTTTAATACTGTCTTTTCAACATTTTTTGTGGTAACCATGGTAACTCACTAACTGACCTCTATTGACATAATTAAGTGGCGTCAGAATGCAACATTTTTTTTCCCAACGCAACAATGCCTTCGCCACACCACTAGTGCCTGACGTTAGTGGTAGTGGATGGGGCTAAATGAAAAAATGCAAGACAACTTGGTTAAACATAAGGCAGTGTATATTTTGCCGGAGACGGCAGACCTTTAGTAAACGTTAGTTTGCCGGATATGCACTGAACATGCGCAGTTACTGTTTTTTTGTACTTAAACATTTTCCGGTGAAAAGTTTTAGTCTGGCTCCATGCCAAAATTATCGTTGTTACCTCGTATTCACAAGATGGGATTCAGACCATTTTATAATTTCGGACTTTATTTCCCTTTTAAAAAAAATCCTCCAGAGCCACAAATCTGAAAAAGAAAATGTAATACTCTGCAAAAAATGTTTGAGACATGTTAAAATAATAAAAGAAGAATATTCTTATTTATTTGGGGATGAGAAAAAAAAACTTTAAAATGTGGTGCCGTCGGAATCGAACGCGAGTCATCCCGCTTACTAGAGCGTTTGCTTAACCACTACACCAAACGTGCTGCACAACTTCTGGTGGGAATTTAATACATCTTATAATTCAGCCCTATTTTAAAGAGTACAGCGCCCTCTGTTGATATGGATTGCCGCCAGCAAACCTTTAGTAATCGTTAGTTTGCCGTCATTACCTCCGGCAAAATATCCACTACCTTAATACATCTTATAATTCAGCCCTATTTTAAAGAGCACAGCGCCCTCTGTTGATATGGATTGCCGCCGGCAAACCTTTAGTAATCGTTAGTTTGCCGTCATTACCTCCGGCAAAATATCCACTATCTAAACATAACAATATTACTAGCCTAATGTCATTATCACACACAAAAAATTGGACCGGTGAAAAAAATGACAACTTGAACCATTGGAGGAATAAGGTGTTCTTATTCCTCCATGCTTGAACTTACCTTTCAGATTGCTCAGCAAAGGATCCCTTGTTGCCATTTTGGCATGTGTTTTATAATTTTACAATTACACTAGAAACTGATCACCAAAGCACTGACATTTTGTTAAAATATTTTTAGGAAGGGTTGATTTTAGTTGTTTACAAGCGAGGCATGCATGCAACTGCAAGGCGGTGCAAAGCGAGAGAAACTTGAACAGCAGCTGGATCTGGAACGGCGAGCGCCCTCTGTTGTCGAGTTTTATCAAAGACTAAACAAGTTTCAGTCTGCTCACTTTTGGCGTTTCTCATAACAATAATCTTCAACAGTAATATTCAGATACAAAAATCTTCTTCTTCATGTTCTTTGTAAGTTGTGGATAAATACAGAGTCTATAGTATTCTATATGAGTCTGTTCAGAATCAATACAAATTGATTTGAGATAAATTAAAAAATCACTGAAGGTAGATTTTCTATCCAAATGACTGCGACTCATGCTGCGACTCGACTAAACTGGTGGCAACTTTAGCAACTTTATGTAGCGCCCTCTATCGGCCTCTTTTGCCCTTGATTCACGGAAAGGTGAGATCGATGTAAAAATAATCTTCAAAAAATCCTGCGTCATCGTCATTTCACAACCACCCGTACGGTTATTATTGTCAGATTGTTAATAACAGATAACGAGAAAATACTTTGGTTATATTTAAAGATCAATTGGTGTTCTCATTTTTGTGTATTTTCAGCCTTAAAACAGGCAAGATGGGGCGACGACCAGCAAGATGGTGAGTTGATATGATCAACATGAAAATGTTATGGGGCCCGGGGTGGACATTGCGATTGTGTGACGACGGGCCCAAGTTATGACGATCGTGATGTGTAGGGCCCCTGTTTTGTTTGATCAAATTAGAGTCAATAATGTTTTTTATTGCTCGAAAATCACCTTTACTATCAAAAGCAGACTTTTCTCGATTCTAAGGACACCCATTTTGCAATTTTGAACAGTTTTTGTTTTTTGCCTTTTTCAGTTGTTGGTAGAAATCACAATTTTTTTGCACGGTTTGGGCACAATTGCAGAATTCCCCCACATACAAACTTATCGCGAAAATTCACCTATGCAAATTGGGGTCAACACGCCCCTCATTATGACGTCAACGTTGAGTTCGTGCTTGCGCTCATGCCATCAATTTCAGCCCGACTCACTTCAGTTTTATGAATGAAATCATTATGCATCGGAGAGTGAACATGCCAGAAATTTACAGTAGAAAAGCTCATGATATCTGCTTTCTTTTGCCGAAGAAAGCGTCAAAATCGATGAACTATTGCCTGAGTTTTGACAGTTCAAACATTTTTTAGCGTGTTTTTTTTTAGGAACCAAAACTTCTTATTTTTCGACGGAGTCCATCTTTTTAATCCTAAATTTCTTTCTTCTCGAATTTGGTTGGGGAAAACCTGAATTAGTTCCATATAGAACAGGTTTTCAGCTTTTTAGTGGTGTGGCACATGTGGGTGGTCGGTCTGATACGGCGATGGTCGCGAGCAATATGCATAAAAATTGTTCGCTAGAACTGCCCAAAATTGCGAATGATAGTGAAGTAATCACGTGATATAAACACGTGCAACGTGCATGAGATATATATAGCTCAGTGGAAGACGGTTACGAAGATTAAAGGGATCCCGTTTGATTAAAGGGATCCCGTTTGATGAAATGTGTGTGTGTCTCTTTTTTTCTGTCCCTTTTCCCCTGTATCCCGATGCGACGGGGTTGGGCGGTGGGTTGGGGTGGGGATGGCCCGCGGGTGGGGCGGGGGAGGCCTGCAGGTGGGGTGGGGGAGGGGGAGGGGGAGGGGGAGGGGATGGGGTGGGGGCGGGGGAACAAAGACACAGTGGGTGGAATATGCACATTCTTTGGGTGAAGGGCCATTGCATATATCCAAACACCTTGAGGGGCGGGGTGGGGTCCCCTGGGTGGGGGGAAAGGAACGGGAGGGGGGTACTGAGAACCAGGATAATGGAATATTTCCTGTCTTTCATTTCTAACACCTGCACCATATCAGGACCCCATGGAAGGGGAGTGCACATAAGGGGTTGCCGGTGGAGGGGGGGGGGGGTGGGGGAGGATGCCTCGTGAGTGTAGAGGGGGGTCGGGGGTAGAGTACTCAAAACCAGGAAGCTTAAAATCCGGGGGGGGGGGGCTCAAAAGGAGGAGGGTGGAATTTCACATTTCCTTTTCTTTTTTTCGGTCCTTGCAACATATCCCGACCCTAGTGGCCGGTGGGTGGTGGGGGCCCCCACCAACACAGAAATCTTGATATGCAAATTAGGTAAACAGCGCCGCTCATTATAGCATCATCATGAAATTCTTGCTGACGCGCATGCCATCTACTTCGGCCAATTTTCGGCCAGACTCCTTCAGTTTTATGAATAATATCACTGTAGGCCTACATCGGAGGATGCACCTGCCAGAAATTTAACATGCTGAAAGCAACAGAATGATGTCCGCTTCCTTTTGCCGAAGACAGCGTCAAAATGAAAGGGTGAGTTTTGACGATTAAAATATTGTTTTCGCGTTTTCCTTTTTGGAACTCAAACTTCGTATTGTCCAAGGGAGTCCATCTTTTCAATCCTGTTTTTCTTCCTTCCAACATTTTGTTTGAAATCAAATGAATTAATTCCGAGTAGTTGAGTTTTTTAGCTGGTGAATGGTGTGGCCTAAGTGGGTGGTCGGTTTAATAGTGCGATGGTCGCGAGCAAAATGCATGGAAGTTCTGCCAAAAATTGCGAATGATTGTCAATTATTGATCACGCCGGCTATATCCGGCCCGCCGGCACCGCGCGCGTTCTAATAAAAACCCAAGATTAATAAAATGATCGGTTACACCTCTATGTTCCGACACCCCTATGTTCCGACTGCACATATTCCTATTCCTAACCCTAACCCTAACCGGGAGTAACACAATCTAGGTTGTCGGAACATAGGGGTGTCGGAACATAGAGCAGTCACCAAATAATCAAGATGTTTTGTTTTCTGATAAATGATGTGACTTTATTATTGGGAATACCACTTTCTTTTTTTCCTTTCCCCTGCCCTGGATACCATATTCCGACCCTGGGGATGGGGCGGTGGGGGGGGGGGGGGGGGGGGGGCGGAGCGTGGTGTTCAAACCACGCCAAGAGGGCTGAAATTGTTTTTTCCAACAAGTGAAGTTTGTCTTTTAATTTGGTGCAATGACGTTCCCGACCAGACTTTCTTTTACTGCGATATCATGGACCGGGCCGGGGTTGAGGCGGGACCGTATCATAAGTCCGACGCCTCATAGGTCCGACGCCTCATAAGTCCGAAATTTCGGACTTATGAGGCGTCGGACTTTATTTATTCCGCCTCATAGATCCGACGCCTCATAAGTCCAACGCCTCAAAAGTCCGACAACGGAAAAAACGAGTGTCGGACTTACGAGGCGTCGGAGATATGAGGCGTCGACCTATGAGGCGTCGGATTTATTAGGCGTCGGACCTATGAGGCGTCGGACTTATGGGCCTTTATTTGGTTAGGGGATGTGATTTTGTCAGACTTATGAGGCGTCGGACTTATGAGCGGACCCCGTTGAGGCCGGGTAGGGGTTGTGGGGGGGGGGGGGGATTTCCCAAAACAAAGAGGGTGGAATGTCCTTTATGTTCTTTTAGTTATTAATCTTAAGACGTGCTGCTCTTGGGGGGAGAGAGGTGGTGGGGCCGCATGAGTCGGGGGGGGGGGGTTAAGGTACTCCAAACCAGGAGGGTTGAATATCCCGGGGAGCATCAGAAGGGGAGGGCCTGGAATTTCCCAATCTTCTTTTGTTTTCATCATCATCATCATCATCATCATCATCATCATCATCAGACGTCGTAGGCTACTGCCCGTTGACGCAACAACCGTCCACTTCTTCTGGGTTGTGTGACTGGTGAAGGGGTGATTTCCTTCGCTGAAGGGTCGCCGCAGTTAGTTTATCCACGCTGAGACCGCTCCATCTGGTGAGGCCGTCGATCCAGCGGAGTTTGGTCATTGCATTATATCCCGACCCTTGGAGACAGAGGGTGGGGGCCCCGACAAACTATTCACAGAAACCTTCGTATGCAACTAGGCGAACAGCTCCGCTCATGATGACGTCATTGTCAAGTTCTTGCTTCATTACGCGCATGACATCGTCTTCGGCCAATCTCACTGGGAGTCCATCTCTTCAATCCTATTTTTCTTCTTTCCAACATTTGGTTCGAATTCAAATGAATTTATTCCGAATAGTTGAGGTTTTCAGCTGTCGAATGGTGTGCCACATGTGGGTGGTCGGTTTGATAGTGCGATGGTCGCGAGCAATATGCATTGGCATTTTTCGATGGAACAGCCAAAAATTGCAAATGATTTTCAATAATTGATCACGCCATCACCGCTTGCGTTCTAATAAAAAAAAACAAAATTAATCTAAAAAGCAAGATGTTTTGTTTTCTGGTGAATGATGCACCTTTATTACATTATTGGGAGTAGGCCTACCCCTTTCATTTCATTTCCCCTGTCCTGGATATCATATTCAGACCCCCGGGGTGTGGCGGGGGCGGGGTGTGCGGTTCAAGCCATGCCAAGAAAGCTGAAATTATTTTCTTTTCCAACAGTGATTTTTGTCTTTTTACGGTGGTGGTGCAATTACGTTCCCGACCAGACTTTCTTTTTTACTGCGAGAAGGGACTGGGTTGGGTGGGGGGGGGGGGGTTGAGGCCGGGTAGGGGTTGTTGGGGGTCGGGGGATTTTCTTCCAGTGATTCTAAGTTCCAAATCTGCATGCCCATTGGGTGGGTGTGGGAGTGGGCAGGGCTGGTGGATTTACCAAACAAAGGATTGCATATTCTTCAAGTGATTTTATTCAGACCTGCATGCCCGTGGGTGGAGGGGGGGGGGGAGACGGGTTGGATTTCCCAAAACAAAGAGGATGGAATATCATTCCTGGGAGAGAGAGAGGGGGAGAGAGAGGTGGAGGGGTTATAGTTCTCCGAACCAGGAGGGTTGAATATCCCCGGGAGAGCCGCAGATTGGGAGGGCCTGGAATTTCTCAATCTTCTTTTGATTGGGTCCTTGCATTATAATCCCGATCCTTGGGGCAGAGGGTGGGGGCCACAACAAACTATTCACAGAAACCTTCGTATGCAAATTAGGTGAACAGCGCCGAATTTTATGACGCAATCGTCAAATTCTTGCTTTAAAATACGCGCATGACATCGTCGTCGATCAATTTCGT